TCAGGTTTTAGTGTATTATAAATGTTCCATTACCGAAAAAAGTAAAAATATGCGACAACTCTTGTTGGCTGCTGTGGTCGTATGTTTCGTTGCCTGGCAACCTATCTTTAATGGTATGCATCCCAAATATCTTGTATTTTGTGTTATGGCCCGTAATTTGACGATAAATACCCCACCCCCTCTCCTCATTTAACACATGGTAGTGTCACTTCAATTACAAATGTGCAAGAAAGAAAATTACATTTTGTAGCAAACAATAAACATACTTTCAGCTGTATATGAACAGATATCGAGAATTTTTTTTATTAAGATCCCGCCCCTCCCCTCACTAAATAAAGTTTAGTACCGTGGAACTTTGATCTCTTCTCAAGGTATATAAATATGCCAGAAAATAACTTGAAAAGTTGTACGCTATTAAACTATTAATTAATTGAGAGTTAGTGGGTGGGGTCTGAAATGTTAAAATACGGGTCATACTAAGACATTCCAGAATGCTACACCAAACAGAATACTACTGAAAAAAGTTTCATTTACCTTTTCAGAGCTGTAAATTATATTCTGGAACATTTATATTCATATACATGTACCTTGAAAGGGGTATTACAGTTGGGTAACGTTAAATACTATTAAGTTAGTGGGGTCGGGTGGGGTGGGGTATTTAAAAGTTAAAATACGGGTTATGTTGTAATGCATGAGCGGGAAGTGTTTATTTATTTATCCCTCTTTCAATATATTACTTATTCCCTGGCACATTCATGATTACGTGATTTAGAAGAGATTAAACACTCTTTCGTTTGAGAAATTCAATAATTATATGGCTTTCAGACAAAAGCTAATTTCTGAAAATAGACTACTTTCCATTTATTTTCTTTCTCGAAGGCCCGGTCCGATTAGCCATACTACGCACGTTGTTTCACTAGAGTCGCGGTCTTCGAGCGATTTTTTCTTATCGTGTATATGCTTGTTTGATTCCCCATTATTGTATGGTGACTTATTGTATGCCAGGTTGATTTCCGCTCATGTCATAATATTCCAGTTCGATGGATTTCGAGAAATGTTTTTTGATAAATGTTATTGAAGAAATGTTTATGGAGAGTTGTATTTAGAATTGTTTTGTTTCAGATTTGTTTTTCGTTGTATTTCTCTGATGAAATGTAAATGTAGGCTAATTCTTTAATTTCTAAAATAAATTTTATCTTTATATTAAAATACAATTAAATTACATTTTACAAATTTGATATGAAAAATGTCTGATTTGTAAAACAAATGGTAATTTTAAGATACAAATGGTAATTTTAAGATACAAATGGTAATTTTAAGATACAAATGGTAATTTTAGTGTACAAATGTCGAAATACGACAACAAATGAAGAAATAAGAATTAAGGACCATGAATTAAGAAATAAGGACTAAGAACACTGAATATAGAGCTGTTTGGTCTTCAATATGCCATGACTATTCAAACCAGCCATTGCTTAAAACCTTTCAGGGTAATGAGAGGTGTAAAACGCATTTTTTTCGGAAAAATATGATAAAATTACAAGATTAACCAGACTACGACAATCTCGACGTACTGCACCTATTGTATTGATGTGTCACTTGACAGAACAAGTGTGTAGTGCATAGTGTAGGCGTGAATGTAGGGATGGTCACATAATGAAAGTAACAACCAGCTGCTCTTTGTGAATGTATTGTAAAAAAAATGACTAAGATTATATTATTAAAGGTGTTGTTCACCACACGTGAATAATAAATAAGGTATAAACCATATGAATATAATTTTTTAATAATAAGACCGGTTTGTGTTATTCTATTTTTATTGTAACAAAAAAACAAAATGCATAAAAAAATTTCAGACATTCCTATATTAGTACGTATTCAACGAATTATTCTAGCATGATATAATCATCGTCAATAACCAAATTAAGGAAGGGTATAATAAATGTGTCCATGATGTCTCAACAAAACCAACCTTTTTCACCAATGAAAAGGATAAAAGAAGCACAGACAAGGACCAAGTTACGACATAAAATTACCGACTTTTCATACATAGCCAAAAAGGCTACATTTGGGTAAATATTAATGGAGATATTTCAAAATCAAAAAATCTTTTAAATTTTGAATATGATATGTAGGCTATATTTTTAACAGGTCTTTCATTGTCGGTCACTTTTTGAAACAGCTTCGGTGTTATTGACAAGGGAAAATAACGGCCTTGGTGATTAGTGGGAAAGTTTTTGTCAAAGATTCTGTTATCCGTACTTTTGATATTTTTTGTTTATGAAATCATTTAAATTTTGGAAGTGATGTGTAAAATATAATATATATGTCACTTTTGATAATACTTTTGACGCGGTGTGATTATGGTATTATAGATGGTTCAGAAATGATACATATTCATTTGAAGTTCTGGTTTCTCGTATATGTATAGCAACTATTCGAATATTTGCTAGATATTCGTCGAATATTCGAGTCTAGTCAGTACTGTACAGCGATATATGTATATTTATGTTCCGGTATTATCCGAAATTTATTATATCAGAAAATATATTATATTTATTATATTATATCGAAGAGATTTTGATTTCACAGTTTTTACGTATATTTTTGAAACAGTTTTCGAAGTTTATTGGTTCTGTTTTGCAAGATCTTTTTCGACGTTCCAAAGTAAAAGTTTGGTGTTAAGACCACTTAAAGATACATTTTAAATGTTCCTATTATTAATTAGAACAGGTTTCGCTTTAGTTTTTTATATTTTACGCTTTACATTTATTGCTTTAAATCTTCCTAGTGCAAAAACTGAAAATTTGACCTTTGACCTCCAGTGTCACAAAGAACAAAGGTGAATTTGGCAATTTTTATGATACAAGAATGGCTGCGCATTTACTTTCAATGCAAATGACCTCATTTAACCTTTGACCCCGAATATCTCGAAAACGCCCCAAAGGTGGGATGATTACCAATCAGCATCGTATTCTACGCAAAATTTTACTACAGGAAAGGTGGGTCTGTTTTTATGCCCATTTGATGGACACCCCCCCCCCCCCACGCACTGAGTCTCCGGTCTAACGCGGATTTTATTTCATTCACAGTTTCGTTGTTCGGTTTTTATACGCCCGCATTTTCGTGTGGACGTATAATGTCGTCGCCCCTGTCCGTCCTTCCGCACTTTGTAGACTACACAGGTCAAATTCTTATCCGATTTTGACGAAACTTGAAATATAGGTTTATCTCCAAACGATCTGGGTTCCTTTCGATATTGGCATATATCGGGCCGTAACTTCATGGATTATGGCCCCTGATTGTACGAAAAATCGCGCTTTTAGCCTGAATATTTTCTGAATATCGGACCAAAACTGCCGGACAAACTGGCCGTCGGTCGTACGCAAATAATGTAAAAATATGGTATACCGAGGTTGTGGATCCTCTAGAGGTCACAATTTTGATCCGATTTTGATGACACTTGGAATACATGTTTATGACACAAAGATCTTGGTGCCTGTCGATATTTGCGCATATCGCATCGTAACTTCCTGAATTAAGGCCCTTGGTGTTACAAAAAAAAATGCGTTTTTAGCTTGTGGTCTCTTTAGAGGTCACAATTTGTATCCAATTTAAAAAAAAAAACGTATGAATATATCAGCGTTGCACTCTAATGATGGTTGAGTTCATATTTCCTGAAAATCGGACCAAAACTGCTGGACAAAATGACCGCCCCTCGTACTCAAATAGTACAAATATATGGTATATCAAGGTCGTGGGCCTTCTAGAGACAACAATCTTGATCCGATTTTGATTAAACTTTAAATTCATGGTTACATCGCGAATATCCGAAGGGACTCTCCTGGATTATGACCCCAGATTGTTCAAAAAATCGCATTTTTAGCTTGTAGGCCCACTAGAAGTCACAGTTTGTATTCAATTTAAAAAAAAGGTTAAATATATCACCGTTAAACATCAATGAAGGTTGAGTTCGAATTTCGTAAAAATCTGACCCAAACTGCTGGACAAATGGTACTAGTGTAAAAGTTTATAATATCAAGGTTGCGGACCCTCTATAGGAATCACATTTTTTATCCGCTTTTGATGATACTTAAAATATATCTTTATATCCCAAATATCTCAGTCCCTGTCGATATTCGCGCATTTCAGTCCATAATTTCCTGGATTATGGCCCCTCATTGTACGAAAAATCGCTTTTTTAGCTTGTTATATATCCATCTGTTGCAAAATGTGGACGTATCTTGCCTGGTTCTTTAAGCATTGGCATAGGCGGCCATTGCTCAGATGATTCTTTAAGAAAATCTGGACCCTTATCCAGTTGACAGATTTATGGAATTCACACTAACACCTCGAGAGGCACCATAAGCGGGATTCTGCATAAACGGAAAATACCTCCATTGATCAATTTCCGATCACTGCTAGGCGGTTTGACCCGAACACATGATAACGCGCTTTCTCGTTCGTGATATAGGCTACTTCAGTGTCGTCTGTCTGTCTGTCCAGACGTACAATTGGGTCACTGTTGGGGTTTGGGTGACCAAGTGGTTTAACGCGTTTCATTTGGCATCACGATGTCCTAAAGGCAGATCAGTTTCACAAGGTCCATCCTCTAATTTTTTAGACGTGTCCATAATACTTATGAACCGTATATCTTCTACTGACATGAATTGTCGGTAATCACACAGCCTTTCACCGAATTCGAGATTAAAATACCTTTTAAAATGTAGTTCTAAATTATTGTTTTGCTAAACAACAGCAATCAGCCAATGGGTGCGCGCGTGACCCAAAAATCCCGAGCGCATTCAATTTTGGGCACAAAAGTACCGTTAAAATATTTGATTATCAGCCATGAAAAGGCGTATTTTCACAAATGTTCAATGCTTAAACATGGCTTAAAAAAAAATATATTTTACTTACCTTCTATGAGGAGGGGGGTCACTTTTGGTTTTAGGCAGATAGGACGAATGCAATTAAAGGGTTTCCATCCATAATTTCAGCTTTAACACAACCTGAAGTTATTCTGCAGTTCGTATTATCAGTACTGTTATACTCTGAAGACGAAAAGATGTGACGATTTCAGCTTAGTATGGCCTTATTCTCAGATTAAAGGTGAGTTTTAAGGGTGGGGGTGGGCAAAACTAGATCTTGACATTTCACTTCAAATTTCAATGTAAACAAATTCTGCAAACAACACAATCGTAGTAAATATTATAGATGAAAATGAACTTGGCTAATCTCTGCTTGGCCGAAAAAGTTCATCCAGTTTTTTTTGGCGTGTTTTCCCCTTGTCAGTGAAGCAGGACCGAGGTCCCGTGTACACATTGGCATGCACGTAAAAGATCCCTTGACAGTTGGAATTCAATATAAGAGTAGGCCGCAGTGCCGGTGTCTGGGCAAAATTTCCCTCATAGCACACTGATGGCGTATGCCCGTCTTCATTAGCCCAGTTCGGAGCAGAACAGTAGGACGTTAAACCCCATTTCATTCCACCCGCCATCTTGTTTTTACGCCTTCAAGACATTTCGTCTGCTATCATCTCAAAATACTCACTAGTTCTAACACTTTCCGTCGTTTTTATTGCTAACGAGAATTTATTTGATCATTTAAAATACACCTTCCAATGTAATTAAATTGGTAATTTTGGCTATTCCTATCTTCGACGGACCCCAATGTAACTAATTAACTAACATTTTAGCATCATTTTTGGGCATATAACAAAAGCAATAAAAACATAACTATACTATAACAAAAATTAATTTAATTTCGCCAAATAAGACACCCTGTCTAAATACTCGACTAAAGTCAATTCCTCTTGTTGGTGTCTTCCTTTTAATTCATGGAGCTGGCTTTGGATTTGAGCATATTTATATCTCTTCCTTGGTGGTTCCTGTCCCCGGCATACGGGCATACTGAACGATTCTAATCTCATTAATAGTTTGTCCTTGTTGTAAAAATGTGATCATTTCAAAAACATTCGAATTGGCTTTTCTAACTAGCTTCTTGATCCTTGAATGCCATCCTTCCAGAGTGTTGTTGGTTCTGTGCTCCTCTGTGTCGTAGTGGTTCCACTGATGAGTAGCAAATTCACCCTCGATTCATTGATTTGTTACGTAGTTGACCAATTCAGCTATTTTTGGATTGACTATGGCATTTCTGCTATAATGTGAAAGTAGGCATCTTCAACCTGTAAGTAAAAAAGGCTTGGTAAATAAATTTGATAACAAATACGAATGTGAAAACCACAGTGGTCAAAACGTTCCACGTCTACTCCAATAAGAGAAGTCGAAGGCCAATACACCAAGACATAATATAATACACCTACCCTTTCTACTGGTACCAACGGTAGAGCTGCAAATCGCTGTACCACCTTCTGTATTTCTTCATCTTCTCTATATTGCACTTGTAGACCTACATTCTGTGTTCGTCTCCAAATACACTGGGTAAAATGAAAAAAAAAATCCAGCCTTTCCATTCTGTATTTGGGAATATTTCCAACACTGCTAATTCAAAATTAATCTAAAATATAATATGGTAATACAATAATCAAAGAGAAAATTCGTTTTTGTATTTATTATAATCATAATAAAAAATTTTTTGTGATGAATGAAGAATAACCTGAAACAGTCCAGGTGCCAGCATTGTTTTATGAAAGAAGAATTACCTGAAACACTCTAGGTGCCAGTATAAAACCATGGGTGGTAGCAGAATCACATAGAAGGCCGAAGAATCGTCAGGAAGTGACTTGGCGTTTATCTGGCAGGAAGAAAAATGCCAGGGGAAAAAGTTGACCATTAATGTTGCCATGGATTTATACAGTTAGTAAAATATTCTAGGAGTTACGTAGAAGGTATAATTGGTTTTACTGAAGATTTTACGATTTCTTTGTAGTTTGAAAGTGTACTTTTAACCTGAATAAATAAGAACACAATTATTATATACAAGATAAACAAAACAAAATTAATATTGTGATATATATGTTAAGAAGTTTAACTCAAAATTAAAACAATTATTAATATAACTGAAGAGAAAGGAACTTAGGTGTGTGTGTGTGTGTGTGTGTGAAATAGCTGTATTTTACGTCCGCTTCCACCGGAGTAATATCGCAGACAAAGGAGCTGATCAGGAATTATTTCTTAGGAACTGAGGAATTATGACTTGCCTTTATATCATGCGTAGCAGGTTCATGGTTGTGGTTATTGTTTAACTTCACTAGAATGTCGTTCACTGTTATCGCTGTAGTATTACAATTCTTGGTGTTGCATTTCCAAACAGTATTTGCATCTATTTTTCGTTTACTTACACGGTACATATAACCACCTGATATCGTCCTCCGCGACTTGTAGGTACAGAGCTTAATACAAGTTGTGCGTTTGCCATTGTAGAAAATTATCTGAATTTTGGATAGTGTAACGGGATTTTGTAACACTTTGGTCCTTGAGACAATTTTCGATTCTTTGCAAAATTGTTTCTTCACTCTGTCTATAGAGTCAAGTCTCACGTACGTAATGAACGAGAATATATAGTTATACATAAAAAACAGTGATATTTTGGTTAAATCATAACCATTGTCAAAATTCCATCAAATTCTGGCTGTTTATTGACCTATGGTTGGTAAACCAAAATAAGGTAATGTTTCCTATCTTGTCGTCAGAAATACAAAGGTTTATTCCATATATCGGATGGAAATTAACTTCTAGGTTATCGAAGACCTGCAGAAATTAGGGGGTATAAATTATGGTGTATAGCGAGTTGAATCAGGGCTCACCCAGAAATTGCTAGCAGCCATTATTATTGAGAACGGGGAACCTACAAAGCCATTACAGCTTATCAATAAAGTTGTAAAACTATTTTATGCTGTAGCCTTGTTACGATCACTGGGAAATAAACACAAGAAGAAGAAGTCCTGTTGTTGTTGTTTATTAAAGATTTAACGTTCAATACAATGAATATGATATTATGGACAGGTTGATTTAATTAAATTATTTACATTTGAAAATTGTTAAAAACACAAAATATAAAAGTCCTCGGATACTAAAAGTTTCTTAGAGCACACTTATAAATTCGCTGTCGTGAGAAGAGAGGGTGGGTCGTCTTCTCCCTAGTCTTCTTGTTGTTGTTGTTTATTACAAATTTAACGTCCAATACATAATGCATGATATTATGACCAGGTTGATTTAATTAAGTTATTTACATATGAATGAGTAAAATATAGAAGTTAGGTAAAAACACTAAATAATAAAAAGTTCTTGTATATCTAAAAGTCACTTTAAAACAGATTTATAATAATAAAAAGTTCTTGTATATCTAACAATCACTTTAAAACCCGGTTTTAAAAATGGTTTTAAAATCGTTGTCGTGGGAAGAGAGGGCAGGTCATCTTCTCACTTTGTCATAATGAAAACAAGTTAGAATAGGAGATCCAGCTGTTTGATGCCATCGCAGCGGATCGAAAAAACCCTGAGGGAAAAAGAATCCGCTGTTTAATGTGGAAAGGCGAAGTTCTCGCAGTAAAAACCACATAGCTGGATCCGTGGAGTATTTACAAATAAAAATGTCCGTGTGGTTCTTTCCATACAGTAGAAGTTAGTTAAAACAAATCCTTTAGCACAGATCTCAAATAATAAAAGTTAGTTAAAAAGTCCTTTGATACACATCACAACTTCGGTTTTTAAAATCATTTATTTTCTGCAGACCATTAAAATATTTCTTTGTGTCTGACTCTTCCCAGATAAAAGTTACCTGAAAAGGGAAAGAAGACCTAGCAGCAACACAGAACAGAACAATTTAAACATTTATAAGAATAGTACATTACACTAAATACAAATTATATAGATTTATATGCACTGCCATAGTTAATAAAGGGTTGTGTAGATCATTATTCCTTTTATCATTATTATTAGATTATATTATTATATTAAATCATGCAGTAGACTGAACCGCCATACTGTCCTACAACAATAGTTCCTTCCTTTGTAACTATATATGTAGTTCCCTATCTTAATGTCAACCTATTCTGATATTATTATAACACCTAGGTGGCTTTGCCGCCAAACTGTTCTACACAACCAGTTATATTTCCATGACTAGTGCTCTTTTCCGCAACTTACTTAACAGTTGATTCCCGATTCTTCTATAAATTTTGAGAAGGCTTCATAAATTTTATATGACATATTCCGAGTGCGGAAGAGGAAAATTTGGGGGTATATTGAAGTTTGGCATCTTCCATTAAACTTATTACGGGTAGTCTTTTATCTTCCAATTTATTGCATGTAATGAAGACATGATTAACGGTCAAAATCGCACTTCACTGGCTTATATTTATGGTCGGTAATTAAATCTTTAGTTCTATGTCTTGTGATTAACCCACAAATTTTGCGCGATGGGTGATTGATCTCCGTTTTTACAACAAGGTCTTTATTTAATTTGAATCTAAAAGTATTTGCTTTGGCCAACTCAGTTTTCCATTCTGATTTAATTTTACTTTTAACAATGCTAATAAATTCCTGAACGCTATATTTTAAGTCTTCGGTTTCGCAGAGGCTGGGCCCTTTGCGAGCCAGAGTGTCTGCAATCCCGTTTCCTACTATGCCGACATGAGATGGTATCCATACAAATTCCACGGTTCTATTTTTGCTTTGAAGGGAGTTAACATTTGCACAAATGTTGTGAACAATTTCTGGTCTTGGTGTTGTTTGGTCGTGTTTTATTGACTCTATACTACTAAGGGAGTCTGACACGATGACTGCTTTTTGAACGGTGCATGACACAAGTCACTCAAGAGCTGTCGATATTGCCTTTAATTCTGCTGTATAGATGGAACATCCATCTGGTAACCTTTTTGATATATTAACATTGAATTCGGGAATGCTGACACCTGTTGTTGTTGTTAGTTGGTTGTATTTTACGTCCGCTTCCACCGAGGTGATATCGCAGACACATGCTGACACCTAACGCAGTTTTGTTTATATTAGGATCGTGAGATCCATCCGTGTATATTTTCACATGCGATGGCCATTTTTCGTTCAAGAGCTCCCTCGAGAGCATTTGAACTTGTTGCGGATTTTCTTTTTTCCTAACAACATTATTTAGGCTTGTATTATAGTTTGAAT